AACAAGGTCTTACTACACAGCTTGGACTTGTAGTGATCTTCCTGTCTCAGCCTCCCCAGTGCTGGGATTACAGGTATGCACCACCATGCCCAATTTTAGGCCAGCATGGTGCGCTCAGGATTTCTGGGCCGGCAAGGTATGTGGTACCGGGGATCAAACCCAAGTCCTTGGTCTTTCCAGGCAGGCACTTACACTGTTGAGCTATCTCCCCAGCTCAATAAAATAAAACTTTAAAAACTGTTTCCATACATTACCTTAATAAGCAGCCAGAGACGCAGATGTTTTAATTACAAAAAGAAAACAAACAATAAAGGGGGAACCCAGGCTATCTAGTTATTGAAATCACAAGCTATGAACTTTAAAATGAATGCAATCAGTACATTTCAAAAGATTAAATAACACAAAACTCAATGGGTGAAATGTATAGCAGATGAAAAGAATTTAAAAGGGAATGGAAGGAGAGTCAGTACTCGAGGCTGTGTCACTGAATGCACCAGACCCTCCAGGCCCCTGGTTCGTTCGCCCAGGGGCCAGACTCTGGGCTGGGGAGGTAGCTCAGTAGAGTAAGCGCTTGCCTGGCAAGTGCAAGGTCCTGAGTTCAATCCTTGGTACCGAAAAAAAAAAATCCAGGGACCGGACTCTGATGGCCTCAGCCTTGGCGTTCCTCTCCTGCTACCTCCCTGGGCCTGGCCGGGCTCCCTCATTCTGGTCTGACCTCCCCACAGGGTCACATAGTGACCCCAAGGACCATGAACTGTGGATAAATGTGAAGGGACGCAGTGGCACTTTCCTGCTGCTTGCGTTCTCAGCAGCCTCCGTGCCTAGAGCTCAGGCACAACCCTGAGAAGTGTGCTTGTCCCAAGAGTGTCACTCAGTGCACTCCTGTCCCGTGGCAGCATGAAAACCAGGCAGTTTGGGAGGATGACAGCAGCCAAGCCTACTCTTCAGAGTCTTGCTAAGGTGCAATGTGAAATTGTGAAGCTCCTGCCTCAGCCTTCCATGTGGTTGGGATTACAAGTGTGTGCCGTCACACTCAGATTCATCTACTTAAATTAGCGGCCAATTTCCAGCAGCTTCTTTGGGATGTGAAGAGAACTCCCTTCAGAACTGATGTCCTTGGAGCGGGTGGCGCCTGCCAGGGAACAACCAAGCCGCCAGCATGCATCCAAGCCCGGTGGAGAAGAGCAGTGCTGTGTTCTGCTAGAGCCAGGCAGAGGAGCTGGTGCTATTTTGGCCTTCACAAGGTCGTCCAGAGAGGCAGAAAGAGAAAGTAGTCACCATGGTTAGGACGGGACTGACTGAGATATGCCGTGGGCAGGGCAGGCAGCATGTGGAAGCCACACCTGCCAAGGGGCATGGGGCGCTGCCTTCCTGCCTGCAGGGATGGAGTGTGCTCTGGGAAGATACTTATCCTGCTTGTCAGTGCCAGCTTCTCCTCTCCAGCAGGCTGCAGATGTCACCCTTGGGGACCAGCTGGGGTTGGAGGGGTGTTGGATCTGGTGAGAGCTACACAGGCCTGTGGAATATTGTGGGCCTTCCTCCTATGGAGCCCCTTGCTTTTGGGCTGGAGAATGAGCACAGCATGGAGTGAATTATAGCACTATTGTGAGGTAGGTGCTGCTTCCCATGGGGCAACCCATGGTAGGCAGAAAAGAAAAAACCCTGTGACCCTCAGGATGGGGAAGCTCACAAAGGACAGACAGGCTGGCCAGCCTGCCCTCTGAGGTCTCCCCTAACTCCCACTTAGCCTGGACCCCCGTAGATGCCCTGGGGTGATGGTGGCCTGGCTGCTTGGACTGTCAGCTCCAAAAGCACTCAAGTCCAACTCTTTCAGTGACAAGGGCCATGGCCTACCAACTGCCCTCTGCTGGCAGCCACCTTCCTTCCCAGCATGTCTCTGCCAGCCCCCTCCCACCTGCTTGCAGTGGGGCCCCACCCCTCCAGAAGCCACACCAGCCTCACTCTGTTCTCTGTTTCTTCATTCAGCCGTCTGTTCTGGCCTTGTCCTTCCAGATCGCCCTTGGTCCCCATCCCAACCTTAGGCTGGTGCAGCTGCCCCTGCCAGACCTGAGGTCCTACTCTGGCCTGGCCACACTGGGCTATTTTCCCAGGAGTGAGAACTCCAAATCCAGGCAGGAAACAGGAGAGAGCCCAGGACTTCATCTAGGTTAAGACATTCCCTGGAGTCTGCACTATTATAATGGTTTATTATGTCTGTAGCCATGTGAGTTATCAAATTCAAGGGAAAGAAGAACTGACATAGTAGGAGCTCATTCTTCGCCTTCTTTTGGGCTCAGGGTTCAGTCCACTAGCTCTGCTTGGACTATAATGGGTTCACTGGGTGGGCTGCTCTGCAGGCGGCTGGGCTGGGCTCTCCTCTGATTCCTGGACTTGGTGCAGGCTAGGGAAGGCCACAGCCTCCGGCTGCCTGGTCACTGGCATCTTACCCTCTGGTTTTGCCTCGGGCTGTGCCTCAGGTCCTGCCTCAGGCTGTGCCTCCTGCCGAGGCTCAGGCTTGGTGGGAGGCTTCTTGCTAGGGGTAGTAGGTTCAGGAGTCCGAGAGGGCTCAGTGCTCCGGGAGCTCTCTCCCAAGGCTGGGGCCACGGAGACTGAACTCTGTATCTTGGGCTGCACCCACTTGTGGCTAAGGATGTCATCTATGCGCAGCCGCCGGTGGACATCAGGATGCAGCAAGTGATAGATGAGGTCCTTACAGTCGCTGCTCAGGTGCTTGGAGCGGGGGAAGTTGACACGGTGCTCCTTCTGGAGGCGCAGCATTTTCTTGATGTTGGAGTCATCGTAAGGCATGGAGCCACAGACCATGATATAGAGGATCACGCCCAGGCTCCAGATGTCATACACCTTGGGCTGGTAGGGGATGCCCTGTAGCACCTCAGGGGCTGCATAGGCGGCTGACCCACAGAAGGTCTTACTAAGTGTCAGCTGACCACTGTCATCCCGGACACAGTGTTTAGAGAAGCCGAAGTCTGACACTTTGATGTTATAGTCCTTGTCAAGAAGAAGGTTTTCGCACTTAAGGTCTCTGTGGACGATGTCCAGGTCATGGCAGTACTTGATGGCTGAGGAGAGCTGGTGGAACTTCTTGCGGGCATCATCCTCTTGCAAAGCCCCCTGGGTTTTGATGAACTCCAGGAGGTCACCTTGAACTCCAAGCTCCATGACGATGTAGACCTTGCCCTGTGATGTCTCAAAGATCTCATAGGTCTTGATGATGGATCGATGGTTTAGTATGGCCATAACCTCAATTTCCCGAGGAAGGAATTTCTCCAGGAAGTCCGTTGGGGCTTTCTTCCTATCAATGATCTTAACTGCCACATTGATCTTTAGGCGCTCAGAGTAAGCAGATTTAACTTTTGCATAGGAACCCTCTCCCAAATTGATGCCCATTATGTACCCACGACGCTTAAGGACAATAGTATCATCCATGGTTCCAGAAGCACTGTGTGTCCCTGAGGCTGTGCCCTCTGTCATTGCAAGACCTGGATCAACAGTGATCTCAATTACACTGCTCACACATAACCTTCTGGGCTGGCTAGGCCTGCTGTTCCTGCTACTGAGACACCAAGACTCTAGGACGGAACCTTCTGTACTGCCTCCCAAGTGACTTCAGTGCATGAAGTCACAAAGGAAGGGCACACATGAGGTGATGGCCAAAGCCACTTGGACCTAGAACCATGGGAGGCCCACCGGGAGGCTGAAGAAGACTGAAGGCCAGTAGAATATCTGTGTGCTTGGCTGGGACCTAAAGGAGTGGGGACTGTGGTACACAAAGGCCTGACCCTGAGCCCAAACCTAGAGCTAGGATCATATGTGGAAGGGTAAGGGTGAAAGTTGTAAGCAAGGCCATTCCAGGAAACACAAGACAGGTGGTCTACATATTGGTGAATATGTATATGGGGGGCAAGAAACAGAAGATAAATTCAATTGAGGACACTCTCAGAAAGGCTTAATTCAGGCATTTTACAAAGCTGGGAGAAAAGCCAAGCTACAGTGACCCCATGAGCTGGTGACAAGGATGATGTACCTGACCTATTTCTTCTCCTCCTACTCTGGACAATGTCCTCCCAGGCAGCCTGAAGGGACACAGAGTAGAGTCAGGAGGGTCAGAGATGCCTGGTGCAGCCATTGCTTAGGCCTGGGAAGCAAGGACTTGACTCTCTTGCTGTGTGGTTGTCACCTCTCTGTACTTCCTTTTCTTTTGCTTTTACTTTTTCCTTTTTTTCCCTCCTTTTCCATCGATCTTTGCTGGTCTATTTCTCTTAGCGTGACTCTATAGTGGACAGCGGGGTGAGAGTCTGTTCTTGAATGTGAGTGTTCTCTTAGGAACCTGCCTAGGCTATGGCTCTGGCTGGGATTTTAGGACAGACTTGGGACTGGGAGAAGAAGGCTGGGCCCCGGCCCTATGCTGAGACTGCCCGCTGCTTCTTGGAATGCTCTGTGAGGGCAACACAGGCAGTCAGGGCAGCGGCGGCCAGGGATCTTTTTAGTGTGTCTGTAGTGAGGCTCCTCTCCTCTGGGCCACATCTGGGGAAGTAAGAGTCCCTGAAGATCTGGATTGAATTTGGATTTAAATTGACCTAACCTAGAGAAATTGGGCTGCTCAGACTTGGTACTGCCCTCCTTGTGACCCCATGTGTTGAAGACTGGAATCCTGAGACCCTTGGGAGGACACTCAGGAGTGAATGAGTGAAAATGGAGTTGAATCCAACTGGACTGGGTCTCTATCACCCCTGACCCTTGCCCTTTTCTCTGTTCCTCCTCTTTACCTTCTTTCCCATCCCTGATCACCCAGTGCCAGCCTATCTACCAGGCCAATGGTCCTTCCTCAAGACAGTTGCTTCTTTTTCCCATCTGCTGTCTGTCCTCTCTGTCTCCTGTCCATGATGAATGGTGGGAGGTCAGCATTTGAAGCTTTGTTCTCAGAGATCTTAGCTTCAGCTCTTCTCAGTGTTCTCTTCTGTGCAAAAGTGGCCTCTTCTCCCCCAGTGTGTGGATGGATCCTTTCTCCCAAGGTGGCCGCTGCTCTCCTTGCTAGGTCTTGGCTTCCTTGTGATTCTCCTGTGACAGTCCCATTAGGCCATTTCCTCCACTGCTGAAACATTTTCAGTCTTGTGTGGCAGTAAAGTTGAGGCAGCCTAGTTAGATAGGAATGGGGATGTGGAGTTTCTAAGACTCCAGTCATTGAATGATCCTTTGAAAATTATTAAATATTTTTTTCCTCCCTTGAAAAGCATATTTATTCAATGAAGCAAAAGACCTTCAGCCCTGTTCACACGGGCATTGTGATCAGGCTTCTGGTAAATTTTCCACCCTGCCTATTTCCTAAGAAATGACATCAAGTTACTTTTACATTAATTTTTAAGAGGTGAAGGGCCAGAAAGATAGCTCAGTGGAATAAATGCTTGCTTAGGTAAGCACAGGGACCAAGGCTCAATCCCTCCATGCCACGCCAGCCCCACCCCTGGGGTGCACTGAGCCATAACCAAGCCCGGGCAGGGTGGCACAGGCCTGTAATTCCAAGGCTGAAAACAGGAGGATCACTACAAGAATGAGCTGCATAGTGAGACCCTGTACCAAATACATACATAAATTGCCAAAACTGAAATCAGGCAATAATAGGAAATGAAATGTTTCAATTAGAATCAAACAGGGGCCTGAGTTCCATCCCTGGTCCAGAAAAAAAAAAGGGGGGGGCCCTGAGTTCAATTGGAATCAAAGAAAAGAAACTTTTGAAAGTTTTACCAAATTAATTATGTGATTAGAACATCTGGATACCTGGGGAAATTCACTCGGTTTCTACAGAGCAGTAAACAGCTAGGAAGTTAAATGTTTAAAAAAAATACCAAATAAAAAATTCATTGAATATTTAGTAGTAAGGAAAGATGTTCAAAATAGATGAATAGAAAATGAGAAAGCTAAAAAGATTTAATCAAAAGATTTAATCATGTTCATGGATTGAAAGATTAGATATTATGCATATCATTTCTCCCCAACAGATTGAGTGTAATTCCACATTCTTACTTGCAGTTTTCTGTGTGTATGTGAAATTAGACAAATTGATGCCGAACTTTTTATGGAAATTTAAAGGTTTCAAATAGGCCATGTAATCTGAGGAAGAATGACAAAGCTGAAGGATTCTTACTACTGGATGACAGCATACTTTATACATTAAAGGAGTATGGGAATATCAAATGTTCAAAGAGTGTTGGTGGAGTTAAAAACTGGCAATAACCATTCAAGTCAAGCATCTCCAGTACCCAGTACATCTACTCTTACTTATTCCAAATGTAATACATGAAGATGTTCATAACACCGTTATTTATAAACCCCTCCAACTAGAAACAATATAGATACTCATTATCAGCAGAATGCACGAAAATGTTGCATTCCTAAAATAGAGTGTCATATAGTAGGAGAAGGCAAACTCTACAAAAAATCCAATAGTATATATTTCCGGCTCTTCAAGTGATGCAGTCTATGTATGCAGTCTATGTCCTACCAACTCGGCTGGCTTGGAGGGAAAGTTATGGGGCTGTGCCTCAAGAACACTCTGGCATGTAGCAATGGAAATGGCTGAACTACTACACAGAACACAGATGGATCTCAGGACATAATGTTAAGGAAAAGAAGGCAAACTCGAAGAATGCATTCTGATAGGTGGAGGAGGAAACTGCAGTGGGCTTGAAGAAGGCTTCTTGGATGGTACTGATTTTCCATGTAATGCCCTAGAATCTAACTCATGTTGTATTTTGGGGTAAGTTTAATTTTATTTTGTATGCGTATAGGAGAGTTGAAAAACTTATGTGGATGTTTTCTACTAAGAAATGAAACTGAAGTCATGATTAAAGGCAAGAATTGAGGTTGTAACGAAAGCTTTATGCATGGCCTTCACTGTTCTGTGATTCTAGTCATATGTGAGTTGTATGTAAGGATGTGTGGATGGAAAGGGATGATGGTGGTAGTTGGGTGGGGGGAATCAATGAAGTGGGTTAAAGGCTACTTTTTTCCTTTTTTATTATTTTATTGAGAAACAACTATCAATGAGACAGTTTCAAAACCGATTAGTAGGACAGTTTCAATAATTAATGCATTGCATATTGTTGTCTTCATAGTGGTTATTCATAGTATAAAGGCTACCTTTTTTCTTTTATTGTTCTAGCTTCCTTTCATCTCATTGACATCTCTCCATTTCTCTTTCCCATTTTCCATGACCCCGTCTATCATTCTCTGACCCTTGGAAACCACAGAAAGTTAAGAACTCACACATTCATTCAGCAAATAGTTTCTCAGCATCTCCTTGTGATGACGCTATTCTCTTCACTGCAAATCAAGTGAGATCTCTTCCATGGAGAGTTCGCAAGTTATTGGATTGTAACATGCACTGCATTTGCAAAGGAGGAAATTAAATAAAGGTACCATTACTGTAGGAAAATGTTTGAATCTTAGACATCTTTCTCCCAGCCTCTGTTTATTGTCTCATGGAGGCAGAGTGACAAACAAGCAACACAGAAGACAGGATGGCTGCCTTTCTTTTCTTTTTTGAGTACACTTTTTCAGAGCAGTTTAATATTCACAGAAAATTGACCCAGGGGTTCATGAACTTCCCCTCATGAGCAGCCTCCTGCACCATCAGCATCTCCCACCAGATGGCACCTTTGCACACTGCTGAGCCTATGCAGGCACATCATTATCCTCCATTCTCCATTCACTTAATTACTCATTCATTCAACACATCTGAGCACTTGTTAAATGCCAATCCTTCCAATTCTCCTTTCTTTCTTATAACCTTCCATACCAAAAAGATTGCATTTTAAATCTCTCGCTTCCCTTCCCTAAAATACAAATAATAATAATAATAATAATAATAATAATAATAATAATAATAATAATAATGGGTTGACCAAACAGCTCAGCGGATTAAAGGGCCTGCAAGCAGGCACAGGGGCTGGCGGTTGAATTCCCGGGCCTGCCATGCCAGTGCTACTCCTGGGATGTGCTGAGACGGCAATTGAGACTGGGCATGTTGTAATCCCAGTTCTTGGGAGGCTGTAAACAGGTGGATCATTATACGTCTGATCTACTAGTGGGACCCTGAACACCCTGTAAACCCTTCCCTAAAATACAAATAATAACAATAATAAATCTCTTTATTCTACTTTTTTTAGTAAGAAATATGAATTTCTCTCAGCCCACCCTCAAGATAGAGTGATATTAACATATTGATGTATTTATTATCCTAGACTCTTTTTTTTTTTTTTTTTTTTTTAGGGATGGGTCTACAAGGTGTTCAGGGTCTCACTACTAGGTTGGACTCATCATAATTCTCCTGTTTACAGCCTCCCAAGTTCTGGGACCACAGGTGCACACCACCATGCTCAGTCTCAATTGTCATCTAAGTGGGTCCCAGGGGCAGGACCAGCAAGGCAGGACCAGGGATCGAACCCCCTCTCCTGCACCTGCTTGCAGATGCTTTAATCTGCTGAGCTATTTGGCCAGCCCTAAATTTTTTTAAAAAATGATAAGCTACTACATGTTTAGTTTTAAAACCAGGT